TATATTGCTAAATACATGAAAATAAAGACGACATGCATGAGGGAAACGAATTACAGTTGTAAAAGGTGCCGCCATGAAAACCAACTGGTTACGTAGTGGTGCCGGATTTTGATTTTTTGCTGTGAAAAATACTACACACAAAGGGGAAAACGACACAAGGGTAAAAATGACAAGGAAAACTTATCCTACCAGCTACAATGTCGGATGCCAAGCAGCGGCGGCAACAACCCAAGCCATAAATCCGAATAGGAAAAAAAGGCAGGCGATCCAGCAGAGCTCGCTAGATTTCATCTCCACTCGAGGCGGAGAGAAATTAAGAGTGATGGACGGCTACCTGTGGCGCTGCCAGGTGGCCTCGGTCACATGGGTTCGTGACGTAAGGGGTAAAAGAATCTTGAGGTCATGGGGCTTCCCCTGACCTGGATTCTATCTCTCCATCACCGGCAGAATCGCCGATTAATGCCTACAGTTCAAAATAGTCATTTTGACTGACCGGAGTCTATGGTGGGTAATTGAACATAGTGAATAGCGTGTTCGACTGTGCATCTCTAACAGGATCGGTTCCCTCTGGGGACGCCCGTGGGTTGGTAAGAAGGGAGTCAAAAACCCACAGCAGAGGACGGACACAAGGGTAAATTCATTACCGTTGTACCATTACCACGCGACAAACCCTGGCTGGCTGAAAGTAGGGGGGGTCAACGTGTGCCCTAGCCCTGAAAGCCCTGCCCCGAGATCGGAGGCTTGGCTGCCAGCACCCTGTTGGCATTCAGCCTGCAATTAGCCTGAGCATCAGCCTGACCCAAATTAGTGGGAGACCCGCGACTGGGAACAGGGGTTCCCCGGAAGAGACGTTTTTGAATGCAAACATGCTTTCGTGTTTCTTCGTGTTTGCCTACCGGGGGGGCGCAGTGGAGACAGCTTGCTCCGACTGCATCTGATCTACCTGGCCTGATCTACCCGGTGCTGTGTGAGGAGAGATCCACAAAGGGACCCATAGGAGGAAAAAGCCTCCAGGGGCGCAGCCTCGCTGTAGCCGGTAAAATCGGGTAAACCACCGTCTGAAAACACAGACTGTGAGGATGCCTCCGATCAGCGGGGGGAGACCGAAAAAATATCGGTACCTCCTACTCGACGTCCCGGTATGCGAAGCACTGGTAGCCAAGTGTGAGGACTTTCCACTCATGCCAAACCTGCAACTCACTTTTAACCGATTTTTACTGGACGCGCGACCTTGCTGTGAAAATACAAGCGACGCGGTCAGTCACATCGATTTTGATGGCTCTGATAAAATATCTCAGGCCTCAGAACTCCAGTGAAAAACGCATGCCTTCAAGGCAAAGACCCCGAACCTCGCACGCAGCCACGGCAAAAAAGCATATCGGATGCAGGTTCTATGCTGGTAAATTCTGAATATAACCACTGCACATTCGACTCGAAAACGAGTAGACCAAAAAACAGTGGCGATTCATGGAGCTGTCATTACATCTATTCATTTCTAAATATGTAGATCAAGCAAAAATGAAGACGACACACATGAGGGAAGCGAATTACAGTAGTAAAAGGTGCCGCCACGAAACCAACAAGTGGTTACGTAGTGGCGCCGGGTTGTTAATTTCTTTGTTGTGAAAAAATATTACACACAAAGAGGAAAATGACACGAGGGTAAAGAAGACAAGAAAAGCTTATCCTACCAGTTAGAATGTCGAATGCCGCCCAGCGGCAACAACCCAAGCTAGAAACCCCGACAGGAAAAAAAGCAAGCGATCCAGGCAGAGCTCGCTAGATTTCATCTCCATTCGAGGTGAAGAAAAATCAGAGTGATTGTACAGCCGTTAGTGGCGCTGCCACATGGCCTTGGTCACATGGTTCGTGACGTAAAGGAAGTGAAACTTGGGGGGCTTTCCCTGACCTAGATTCTATCTCTCTGTCACCGGCAGAATCGCTGATTAATGCCTACAGTTCAAAATAGTCATTTTGACTGACTGGAGTCTATGGTGGGTAATTGAACGTAGTGAATTTTTGGTTTTTACTCAATTTTTATCCTAATCCTAAGTGCAGACTATAAATGGGACTAATTTATGAATTTTTGATGATAAGAGAGAAATATTGGTGAAAAGGTTAAACATATCAAATTACTAGATACATTTTTTTCTTATGGTAACCAAGGTTTTAAAAATCTTGATATTTAATTTATATGTATACATATACAAATGAATCAAAGATTATCATAATAAATTCTCACCATTCTAGCTTCCTTTTCAGCTTGCGTATAAAAGTTTGTTTCTACCAGACCAAATGCATACATGCCTTTTAGGTAACTGAATCAGAGTAACAGAAACATAAAATTAAAATGTGTAAAAAGAATCTTAAGTGTAATGTACATGTACAAGCTCTTGAACATGCTCGTAGGGTATTGAAGTGGAATTTGCATGATTTCACTATAGTACGCAATGCACTTATTGCAATATAATTAACACACATGTTACTAAAGTCTGTCATACTAACATACTAAGGGACGACGTCAAAAGATCGATGTCGAATAAAAAACTTTAGTTTGAGGGTGGCGGGTGACCTCAAAAAGTTTCTATCCTATGAAAACGATTTTATTTTTCAATGAAGTCAAAAAAATCCTCGAGTATTTGTAGTTCGTTTTTTTTCTATCTAATCATGGACAGAAATAACAGAAAATGAAAAAAAACACATCCAAGATGAGAAAATGGTTTGGCCCGAGTGTAAATATGTGCGTCAAATGTCAAATGAGGTAAATTTCAGGGCATAGACCTAGAACCAACTGCTATGCCATATTACTGTCCGATTATCAATTTGTATTTAATGGTGAATGTAGTCTGATGCCATGATCAATATTTATCAATTAAGTTTCAGTGGGGGGTAGGGGGGTTTGGAAAAAAACTAAAGGAATTAAGTTTTTTATTCTAC